TTTGGGCGTCTGGTAGCAGCCATTGGGATGGGGGTACAGTTGTGTTCTGTGTTTTTCTGTGTAGTTATTTTTGAGGTTTTCTGTGTTTAGTCCTGTTCCTGTCCTGTCTTCCCTGTTGATTGCTTCCCAGGTGTGTCTAGTTACCTGATTGCCCTCCCTGTGTATTTAAACCCACCTGTTGTCTTTGTCTCTTGTCGGGTCCTTGTCGTATGTCGTCGAATGTCATTTGTCTGCCTGCCATCACAGTCGAACTGTAAAGTCCTGTGTTGGTTTAGATCTCTTATTCAGTCCTCAGTTTTTCAGTTGCTACTGGTAATTAGCTGTGTAGTAACTCTCTGCCGTGCCGCCTATGTTGGACTGTATTTGAGCTCTCTTTATTAAATAATCTTCATCATCATCATCATCATCATCATCACCGATGATGATGGGTCTCGGCGTTCATTCTCGACACTACAAACTCACCACTTCATGACACTCTTTATTTGTTGTATTCCCTTTTGGAGATAGTTGCCTTTATTTCGTTTTGTTTTGTGTAGTTTATGGCCAACTTCCGGTTTTTGATTTGATGCTTTTATTTTGATGAGAGAGCTTCCGCTGTTTATGTTGTGGAGCAGCAGCTTGGCAACAGAAGGAACGGAAGATGAGTTACAACAGTGTTGTAAAAATGTGTCTTATTAGCGGACCCCTTACGAAGCACATTGCTATCACGCAGGGAAAACAATTCGAGCTAGTTTAGTTTAGCTGTCACTTTCTCAGGGGAGAAAGACTCACCTGGTATAAATTCAATGTTTAGCTATTGGAGTTATACTGAAGAGAAATTAATTTAATAAAAGAATGTTATGAATATGTGTGTATGTATTCCATCTTAAGTAGGGCTGCATCGACTGCAGTTTTCTGGGCGATCCTCGGTTACTGATCTTTAAAAAGCCTGACCTGCCGATTTTGATTTTGACCAATACCAATTTTTTTTTGTCTGAAATGTCACTAAATATAGCAAGAAAGTCCCTGAGTTGGCAACAGTGGGGAGAATATTAACTGCAAATGTGCAGATCTGACCTGTTGGGCCGATCTGTCAGTCAAACTTTTCACTGTAGAGGAGAAGACGACAGAGGCTGATTTTTAAACCTTTACTGCCAAAGATAAGATCAAAAACCTGGCCATGTCATGTCGTCATAGAAACAACTAACAAACAAACTAACAGACTGGCAAACGTAACTGACAACATAAATTACTGACATTCAATGCAACATAATTACCTGGAATGAGTGATTAAGAAAACACAAATGGTGCAGTTAACCTCCCTACTGGTCAACGTATCTATCTGTGTAATGTAACAAAGATTCAAGTTACCCTTTGAACAAACCTCCAACACTATTCAGAAGATTTGTTGATTTACCACAGAAGAACGCGTTAAACTGTTTATTGGTTTTGTATCTGTAGCAATTTGATTTATTGTTTACTCTCTTCCTTGATTTTCATGTAGCCCAAACCCTAACTTGAAAACAAAAACCTGTTGTTGCTGGCAGGGATTGAGATTCAGATGTGTTGAGATTCAGATGTGTTCATCTGAATCTCTAAGCACTCTGCACAGGAACACAGGGAGAGTGTTTGTCAAGGAGGAATAACATTCCTCTGCTTCAGCAGTGGACTGATGCGGAAAGTCACGACAGCCCCTGTGGTTTATGCTTGACTGCTAGAGCTCAGACGTGTAAACTGGTATGCCAGAGTGGAGGCTAGCAGAAGTCCAATTCTAGCTCAAACATTCTATCATACCAGACAGGTTGAAAAATAATTTTGGCTCAGGATGGTCAGAGGAGTGCATTTTGGGGGTTTTCATGTAAGCCTGATCTTCCTTCTGATGTTCTCTGTCGAAGGCTTGTTGCTGAAGGAGCAACGCAGGAATGCAGAGGTGACTCAAGGGCTCAGCAAAGCTATCTTAGAAATGCTGCATATCAAGAAAGTGTCGGCGAGTCATCAGGCCAAACCTCATCCTTACATGAATAGGATCTATCAACATCTGGAGTCACTGGAAGCTCAAGACTTTGGAAGATCAGATGGAATCCTGGTGCAGAGTTTCCGAAGTGTTGATGGTAAGAAAGATGTTTATAGTAGGAAAACATTTTAATACCATTATCATGTAAGAAGGACGAAGCTGTGGAACTGTACCTCCACAAATAGATTTGCCTGTGTAGCTATTTGAAACAAGGAATAATGCAGTATTTTACTTTTTGAATCACCCAGGGCCCCATCATGCTCCACAAGGATGGATCTGGTTCAACATTAGCAACCTGAACCTGTCCATGCTGAGTGCAGAGTTGGTCCTCTACAGGAAGACCCTCCATTCATGCCCTCTCAGTGTCACTGTGACCCTGCACAGCATCATTACATCATTGCACAATCTGAATGAAATTCCTGCTCTGGAGGAGAGGCAGCTGACGCTGGACCAGCGGCCCTCTTCTGGGTACGATGTTTTCAATGTGTCCGCTGTGTTGGCTATGCAGCATTTGGAGGTGGTGGGTTTCCAGCTGAGGTATACAGATGAGAGTGGGAGTTTGGTCCTCCATGAGGCGCTGACACAGAGTCTGTACTGTTTGAGCAGAGGCTCTCTGCAGGAACCCTTACTAGTGCTTTACGAAATACGGCCTCTTCAGTTCTAATGACGTTACCTTGACCACAGAAAATTCAAGGAAAAATATATATAGTTTATTTCCTCTTGTATCTGATGGCAGAAATTCCTAAAAAGTATATTTTGTTTTGAATGAGTCACTATGCATTTTTCTGTCATTTAAAATGAAGTTTGGCTTGTCTGACAAACAAGTGATGAATAATTCAAACAGCCAGCTGACAACATTCAGATAGAGCAGAATTTTGAAGTGAAGTTTCTTCAAGGTTGTAAGCAGTTAATTTTCTTTTTGTATAAATCTAGACTAGCTAGTCGTGGAGACTAAAGCTAAAGGCTAATCTGAGAGGGATGAAGATCAAGTCAGTCTTCAGTCTGAATACATTAGCGGTTTTGTTAAAGCCATTTTAGTCATCTTTAAACCATTGTCACAGAACCATTGTTCTCCCTACGTGTAACCTCCTTTGTCTTTGACACTGTATAATAAAGCAAAGATGCTCATCTTAAGGTAGGAGTCTGTATTTGCTATCATCAGTTGAGCTTTTTTTTTAATGTCATTCATTCAGAGATCATAGGGGATAAATACGGAGGGGTGGCACTCTGTTCAGATTTTAATTTGCAAAAGAACTGAAATTTCAATTTCTAAATCAGACAAAAAGTCAGAAGGGTGAGGATTACTCACACCGCTATCTATCTATCTATCTATCTATCTATCTATCTATCTATCTATCTATCTATCTATCTATCTATCTATCTATCTATCTATCTATCTATCTATCTATCTATCTATCTATCTATCTATCTATCTTAAAGCACCTGCTTGTATAACATTTTCCAATATGTCGTGACTGCTCTCTAGTGGCACAGTCGGTAACTACAACACTTGAATCCTGTGTTATGATTCATAGCTTCCAAGTCCAGTAACTCTCAAGGATTGGTGTCCTTCAGTTTTTAGATTTGTCTAGTTTAACACAACTCTATGAAAAGATTGGATTATCAGCAGGACCCTCTAAAATTCCATTGCACTGTAGCGGGAGGACGTGGGAGGAGAGTGTGCGGGGGTGGAGGACAGGAGTACACAGAAAGAACCCAGTCTCCATGTGGAGAGACCCTCAGGGTGGGATTCGTTGCTGTAGAGCAGAAGTGCTAAAAGCTGCGCTTATGGTACTTTGTAATAATGGAAAGGGAAGGGTAATAGGTTTTTGTCACGAAAACCTTTGAAAATCTGCTTAGCATAATTTCTACTTCCGGAAATTCTATCAGTAAAATATTTGTCTGGTACAATTTAATTTTCTAGATCGAAAATAGTTATGGTTTCATATTATTATATGATTCTGATCAGCACAGGAAGCGCTTCAACATTTCTCTAATGTGATTGGCCTACGCTCCTATTAATGTATGTTCCCCACCAATCACTGACGACCTTCCCAGCATCGTCACCTCCCTCTGTAGGCGCAATTTAGCCCCGAATAACGGAGAAGCGCTTAGAATTTTTTTGGACTATTTGGTACTAACTCGCCTCGATAGGTCTATAGGTTCGGTGTCGGTGAGCTGGCCACTCTGCGGTCTGCCATGTCTCCTTCGCGGGTCTGAGCAGACACTGGAAGGGGACAAAGGGAAATGCATCTCCGGAGCGCCGAACCTGTTCCCTCTCGCCCAGCACAAAGCCTGTGAAGCAGGCCGTGTTTCTCCTCGCAGCCACAGGCAGATGATGCTCAAACATGTCGGGGAATCATTTCAAAGGCCACGAAGTCAGTTGCTGCATCAAATACTTCATTTTTGGCTTCAACATCCTGTTCTGGGTAAGAACCATTCACTGTCATTCTTATCCTCTGTTCCAGCAGGAGCGTTGGGGTGATTGTGTACATTAGGGAGGGAGGCCCGGATCATCTCCACTTTATGGCTCTTTTTTTTATTATTTCAATTTCCACTCATATCGTTGCCTTGTTATTGCTGTGGCCGTCTTCGGGTGCTGGGGTCCGGACAGAAGCAGCTGTTCCTGCACACACCCAGCTAATCGGCTTTTTGTGATAATGAGAGCTGAGCGCTGACACAGAGAACAGTTGAATAAACCCGCAGCACTGTCAATGTTAACCCCGCACACCGATGCGCACTGCTCCTCAACGACCTTCAGCTCAGTCCAGGGCGCTGCTAGGATCCTGAAATACCGGGGGCTTAGCCCACCCTGCACGGAGTTCAGCAGAGGCATCACTGGATGATAAAATAATCTGGACATGTTGTGCCAGCTGGGTTTAAAGTGGGGGTTTTGATAACTGTAGGTCAGAGTGGAACGTAAGATGATAATAAAAATAACTTTTTAATTGGAATAAGAGCATGTGCTCTCAAAGCCTACTTTATTAGGTACATCTGTTTAATTTTCTAACACAAATGAGCCAATCACCACAGCGGCCAACAAATTGTGCCTTTGAGGTAAAGATAACTTGCTGAAGTTTAAACTGAGCATCAGAATAACAAAGGAAGAGGGTTGAAGTGACGCATCTTTAGTACCCAGTAACCCTGTTAACATGCCCAGGTGGGCCCCACATGGGGAAAAGGAGGGCAGACCAGATGGGTCCCATATGGGTTTGTCTGCTGGTTCCACGGTGGCCCCACATGGGTTTGCCCATGTAGGGCCACAGCCCACATGGGCCCTACATGGGCCCTACATGGTGGTGGGCCCACATGGGTTTGCCCATTTAGGGCCCATGTTGGGCCCACGTAGGCTGTGGACCTACATGGGCAAACTCATGTGGGCCCACCGTGGAACCCGCGGACAAACCCATATGGGAGCCATATGTCTGCCCACCTTTCCCGCATAAGGGGCTGGCAGGGAAGCAGCAGATTCCTTGATCTCAGAGACTATTCAGACTAGCAGCATGTTGGCTGAACAGTGGCACAGTTGGTAGCCCTGTTGCCTTACAGCAAGAAGGTCATGGGTTTGATTCCCAGCTTGGGGTCTTTCTGCATGGAGTTTGCATGTTCTCCCTGTGCATGCATGGGTTCTATCTGGGTACTCTGGCTTCCTCCCACGGTCCAAAAACATGGCTGTCAGGTTAAATGGTCTCTCTAAATTCTCCTTGGGTGTGTATGGTTGTTTGTCCTGTCTGTCTCTGTGCTGCCCTGGGACATACTGGTGACCTGTCCAGATGTACCCCGCCTCTCGCCCAAAACATTTGCTGGATATAGGCACCAGTACCCATCCCAACCCCACTAGGAACAAGGGTTTAAAGAAAATGGATAGATGGATTTTACTTTTGGACAGGTATTATGATTCATAACCATGGCAAAAAAATTTTTACAACTGGGAGCAGCAGATTAGCATCACCTGCACCGTCAGGGCCTGCAGCCTTGCCAGGGTGGAGTCTCACCAACTGTCTTCTTACATCTTCGGCGGTGATGTTTACTGTAGAAGTAGAGGTGACCGGCTGGGGGTGGGGGATTGTCACTGAGTATAAGAGGAGGGAAGAAGGTGTGAAGGTAAGATGAAGGACTCTGAGGAGGGAGGGATTGTTGGACAGCAGCAGTGGTGTTGACGGGAGTGTGAGCAGGAGGTGCAGGGGCCGCAGTGTTAAGTCTGTTGAAAAACAGGTTAAGTTCGTTGGCTCTATCAACGTTGCCCTCAACCGCTCCACAGCCTGCTGATCTGAACTCAGTGACAATCCTCATCCCTCTCCAGACCTTGCTGGTGTTTTTCTGCTGGAGTTTCCTCTCCAGCTTCCTTTTATAATATTCCTTAGCTCTTCTGATCTTCAACTTCAAGCACCTCTGAATTATTCTCACATCATCCCTGTTGCCATTTCTGAAAGCCCTCTTCTTCTGGATGGTCTAGATCTCCTTTGTTACCCAGGGCTTATTTGGGTAACAATAAACAGTCTCAGTAGGGATGATGGAGTCAACACAGAAGTTATAATTATAATGTGTTAAGCACTCACTGAGCTCATCGATGTCCTCCATAGAGAAGACTGCCAGTCAGTGGCCTCAAAACATTCCTGTAGTGTCTCGGTGACCTCTTTTGACCACCTTCTTCTCACTGTCCTCGTTGTTGCAGGCTGTCTCTTCACTAGTGGTGTGTAACATAGGCTCAGGGGCACCACGGTCCATCCACAGTCCAAGTGGAGGGAGGGGAGAGGAACTGTATGCATCTTTTACATAAGCATACACTGCAAGCGAGCTACAGCAGAGTGGATGATGTGACAGGCCACCATGGGATTAGCAGAGGGAGGAATGTAAACAGTCACCATGACAACATGAGAATATTCATGGGGCAGGTAAAATAGACGAAAACCAACCGCCAGCAGTTCAACATCAGGGCAGCAGATTCTCTCCTTGACATTTATATGAGTAGGATTGCACCAACAGGTGTTTACTAGAATGGCAAGCCCCCCTCCTTTCCGCTTACAACTCTCAGTGCAATCCCTCTCACCTCGAACAGTCCGGTAGCCCTCAATGGAAACATTGGCATCAGGAATGTCCGGGTGCAGCCATGTGTCTGTAAAACACATTAAAATACATTCCTGATATTCCTTCTGGCTCCTGGACAGTAATGTTAATTCATCCATCTTATTAGCCATCGATCTATTGTTGCCCATGGTAAAGGAAGGGAGAAATGGCTTGTAACTCTTCTCCATAAGCCTCTGTTTCTTCCTTTTTGCTCTCCTCCACTGTTTGTTTCCTCCTCTGTAACCCCAATGTGTCTTTCTCCAAATCTCTGGGATTTCAGTGGATCTGGACTCCATGCCGGCCAGTTTCAGTGCAATCAGCTGATCCCTGGTGTGAACAATGCGGCCAAGTTGTTGCGCACGGCAGAGTTAAAAAAAAAAGTATCTCAGCATCGAAGAAAAAGATAATGACTTTCTTAGTCAACATTGTTGAAGATACTCTTCTGGTAAAGTGCAAAAAAATTAATGTTGTAAAATAAAATAATCAAATAAATATTTAAAAAATAAAATGATGAGAGGAGTAACCACAACAGGCTGCATACACGTTAGCACATGCACACTACAAGTATGATATGGGAACATACCATTAGGTGGAAACAAAGAGTGGGCCAGTGGCTCTTCATCACTATGAAGAGGAGAGTGTGACACAAAACCCATAATTATAAATGACACCTGTAAGAGAAGCAGCATCTGGCTGAAGAGTAAACATATTATAAAATAATTAATTATTATGGGCAGTGGTAGCTTGTGATGGACAGAGCAGTCGAAAGAGAGCCAGGCACAGGTTTAAATAAAAAAAGAGTTGTTTTTTATTTAATCCAAAACGAAAACTTGGGAAATAATGAAAAATGACAAAGTTGAGCCCATAACAGAAGTAACAGAATTCAACTCAGACTGATTCAAACAAACAAACCTACCTAAATGAGACAAAGGGGAAACTTAAATACTGGCTGATCAGGCCACATAGAAGACACAAAGGGGAGAACACACAAAACCTAACTGAAGCTAACATAGGAAAATCACATCCCCCCCTCACCCCCTCTTGATGATGAGTAGTGGTATGAACTAATTTGCAGTCTCAGGCTTGCTGCACCCCTTCTCCACCTCTTTGTTCCCCTGAAGGACTGGAGCAGTCGACACAGAGGTAACTCGAAATAAACAGAGGTTAAATCAAGCAAAACACAACAGTGTAACTAAAATGTGCAAAAAACAGTTATTCTGCAAATTAAATCCTAGATTTAAAGAAACACAATACAAGTGTGGTGAGATTGACTAACCTCGTGTGTAGTGTGATTAAATGTTACCACATTTGTGTGGGTGTAAATGCAGCCATCACACACACTGGGACAGCGAGAGAGACAGTCTGCAATGGAGTTGTCCTTGCTGGGGACATAGTGAATGGTGAATCGAAATGGCTGGACCGCCAGGTTCCAGCGTGTGATCCTTCCATTTGAATCTTTCATCTTCTCTGTCCATTGCAGAGCTTTATGGTCAGTTTCTAAGGTGAACTCTCTTTCAAGAAGGTAGTACTTGAAGGAATCCTGGGCCCATTTGATGGCCAGTGCCTCTTTTTCAATGGTTGAGTATTGTACTTCCCTTGGAAACAGCTTACGGCTAATAAAAGTCGCTGGATGGCGCACTCCAGGTGGTCCCTTCAACAGAACAGCTCCCAAACTTCTTTCAGAGGCTTAAGTCTGAAGAATATAATGTCTCTCTCTCTCAAAATCAGGCTCTACAGGACTGGGCTCTTACTGAGAGATTGCTGCAGGTCCTGGAAAGCTGTTTTAGCCTCCCCAACAAGATGATCTTGTTGGGGCTTCGGGAAGCAGTGAGGTCTGTTGATAGAGCGGCCCTGACTGAGAAATGAGGGATAAAACGATGATAGAATCCTGCCATACCCAAAAAGGATCTTAACCGTTTTCTGGTCTCAGGCAGAGGACAGGACTCTATAGCTATGATTTTATTTATTTGAGGCTTTATCATTCCATTTCCTATCACAAACCCAAGGTACTCAGTTTCAGCCTTGGCAATTGCACACTTGACTGGATTAATAGTCAACCCTACAGATTAGAGGCGCTCCAACACCTTCTCCAGATGTTTCAGGTGGTCTTGTAGGTTGTTTGTCCCAGTTGGGTCTGGATTTCATATAGGTCTTGCCATTCTGCTGCTGACAGCTTGCTGTCAGCACTTGGAAGGAGCACCAGCACTTTCTGGCCAAGACTGAAAGACCTCTGGCGAGCTGACTGGTCACATAGACTTTCTGATGTTTCTGTGCTTCTTCCTTGTGAGCTTGGGCCAATGCTGTCATCCTTTCCAGTCATTCCTGCATCTGGACAACATAAGAGACATTTGCAGCTTGAGGCCTCTCTTTGTCACCCTCCCATGTCTCCCTCGACAGAGATGGGGGATCCCATACTTCATAGCCATATAGCAATTCAAATTGGGAAAAACCAGTAGAGGTCTGCGGCATTTCTTTATATGCAAAATGAAGGTTAGGTAGCCACTGGTCCCAGTCTGTACCGGTTTCATTGACAAACTTGCGTAACATTTGTTTCAAGGTCTGATTGAAGTGCTCTGTCAGGCCGTCTGTCTGAGGATGGTATGGAGTGGTCTTCAGGCTCTTAATCCCAAGGAGTTGTGGACAGAAAGTTAGTTCCACAGTCGGTGAGAATTTCAGTTGGAAACCCAACTCGTGAGAAGAGCTGTATGAGACAGAAGGCAACTGCTTTAGCTTTTATTGATTTCAAAGGAAAAACCTCTGGATATTTTGTAGCATAATCCAGGATCACCAGCATGTAACGATTACCTGATTTACTTTTTTCTAGGGGACCAATGATGTCCATTCCCAGCCGTTTAAACAGGGTATTCATGAGTGGCAAAAGCTGGAAGAGAAGCTCTGGAGGGAATTTTTAAAGATGACTTTTGGTAGTGAGGGCAGCTTTTGCAGAACAGAGTCACATTAGATCGGATTCCAGGCCAGTGAAAATATTTTCTGAGGCGGGCCATTGGCTTGTGCTTTTCAAGATGGCCAGCCCATGGAATGGAATGCCCCAAGAACGGCTCCACCTTCTGGACTGGTCTAGGAACCACCAACTGCAATGCTGTTGGTGGTTACAGCAAAAATTCTTTCAGCAAAAATTCCTCCACGGTGTCAAACCTTGTTCAGGATTTTTATTTCCCTCTGCTTTCTGAAATAAAGATGTTAGGGCTGGATCGCTGTGCTGCAATTCTCTGATGTTAGCAGGGATTTTAAACCCCAAAGGTAGCTCAGGCTCAGAGATAGAAGATGATTTCTCAGCAGTGTGTCAAAATTTCTCTTGCTGTCGCTGCCTGCAGGACTTGCAAGACTTCCTGGGTGTGGTCTCTAGGTCCACATCATAAAAAGACAAGGCTCAGAGTGGTTGCAGAAACTCCTCTCTCTTTCTAGCTTGAAATCTGGTTAATGCAATGGTGCCCATATTGCTGGAGTTCAACAAGTCACACAACACAGGCAGATCCTAGCACTGCTGGAAATGACAAATTCTCAGCCACACCAATATTTAGAAGATAAAGTTGGCCTTGTACTTTAATATACAGGTCTGCTGTTGGATATGAAAACATGAGTTGTCACTTGTGATGGACCGATTAATGGAGATGACTCCATGAATACAGTGGACAATGATTGTTTCCACATTAACTTTGTTTACTGAAACAAAGTCTCTGTGCACCAGAGTTTGAGTACTTCCTGAATCAATGAGAGCCTTTAATTGGGGCCTGCCCATAGCAATGCATAGGGAGAGCAGTCACTGCCTCCATGCATTGCATGGCAGGCACCTATTGTTCTGCACCTAATAGAATGTCTCTTTATTATTATAGATTATTTATTTTTCTTCCGTCACCGTTAATGCGGCTCGTACCGCTGCGTGTACCCCCACAAAAGTGGTAACAAATCGTGCGGCTCGATGCCGAGAAGGGAGCTATTACTTTTAATGGGATTCTGAGATAAAATGACGACATAAATTGAAAAAAACGACAAAAGTTTAGACTGAGTGTCTCACAGAATCACTAAGATTTCTCTCTGAAACACACACACAGGACAGTGGAGGTCTGACTCCAAAACTCTTTTTAACTCCCCTTCACAGGCACAAATAGCGGCCTATTGATCTCAAAGTTGCTCATGACATAGATACACATGCCTGCTCCCGTAAAATGTTTTCAAAATTTTCCTGGGGCTTATGGTTTTTTGTGAGGGCCCTGAGACCGACGCTGGGTGTCTCACAAGTATAGAAACCAGCATCCTGCCTGACAGAGAGAGCCAGCCCAGGTGCAGATAATTAATTACCATAGCAACGGGTCCTAGACAGAGGCAGTGAGTAGTCCCACAGCGCTGAATCAGATCTCACAATGTATTGTGGGAAGAATACATATTTCCTGTGACTTTTCATGTTTTGCTTACGTAAAATTACTTGTCTGAATTTTTGAGTGTAAATTAAAATCCTTAGTATGAAATTTTAATTTTTTTTAGAAATAAAGAATTACCAACTTTCTTCATGTTTTTTTTTTATTTTGAACCATGAGTGAGAACAAAATGTGCGAAGCTTATAATCGTCGGTCTCGGACTGAATTTTCACTGACCTGGGATTTAGACATTACATTTTAATGTTAACTCAGTTCATGTATATACCTATGGTATACTTGACAATACGTATTTTAGACCAGCATGGATCTATTTATCAGAACAAATATAAAACGCTGTGGGCCTGCCAAAGTGATGGGCACACTTTGGCAGGCCCCTTAAAATTTCTGCAGGAATTTTCTAGTTATTTACCTTCAACTTTAATTGAGGTCATCCTTAAACCAACACCACTTTAGAGTGCACAATTTGTCTGGGCACAAAACACATTTGTGTCATCTTTGTAGAGTTCTTTGGGGACATTGGTTTCGTGTGTCCCTCCATCCCACACATATAACAAATCACTGTCTTGGCTGGGGCTCTTGATGGCACATCCAATGACTGGATCTTTAGAGGTTTACTCACCCCTGCCTTTTGGTAGTGGGGAACAGGTTTTGAAACCTCCCTCATTTTCCCTGCTGTTTGACTCCATGGTTGTCCTGGTGCAGCCACAAACACGTCAGCCAACTGCGCAGCTTCTGCAGCTGACTTTGGGTTATGGTCTTTAATCCATATCTGCAACTCAGGAGACAGCATTCTCAAGTATTGTTCTAAAATGATTATTTCACTGACCTCATCCACAGTTTTTTCTTTTGGCAGCACCCACTTTCCGTACATCTCTTTCAGTCTTGCATATAGTTCTTTTAGATTCTCATCAGGTTTTACTTCCAGTGATTGAAATCGCAATCTGTTCGTCTCAGGATTGATGTTGTATTTTTGAAGAACAGCTTCTTTAACTTTATCATATTCCAGAGAGTCATTCATATCCATGTGAACATATGCACCTCTTGCTTTGCCAGTGAGTAGTGGAATCAGATGAAAAACCCTATCTGCTTTTGTCCACCGGCAAACTAGAGCCATGCGTTCAAATGTTGTTAGAAAATGTTCAATATTGTCCTCATCTGTCAGTTTTTCAAGTATGGATTCATGAGAGTGAAACTGACCTGAGGGGCATGCATTTGCTCATTACTGCAGCAGGAAGGATCATCACCTTCACTAGCTTCTGCATCTGATTGTTGAGATTCATCTGTTTGAGGCTCAGGAGCAGGGGTGGCACGAGCTTGCACTTCCACCTGTAACAGCTGAAATTGGTGTCATGGTGCTCTGAAGCGCTGTTCCTGCCGAATAAACTCCTCCCTTCGTCTTGCTTCCTGGGCTTCCTGCTGGTCCGTATGAAAACGAACAATGGAAATCACTTCTGATATTGTTGGCTCCTTACCCTCAATGATATCCACCCTTCCAGAGGCTCCATTTTCTTCTCCAACTTGGTCCTCCATTCCAACAGGCTGGTTTTGAGGATCTCCTTTCAGTCTTTTGGCTCTCCTTCCTGTTTTTTTTCATGGCTTGGTAAGAGGAGAGG